TCATGAACTATTAGGCTAAATGGACAAATTAAAAAACATTGAAAATGTTAAGAAGGTATTTTGCTACATAATACATATTTCCATTAAGAAAACTGTGGCTGTAACTTGAAAGAGTAAAAAAGTACAAAACACTGAGCATTAAAATGTACCAAGCATTTTGACATTTGAAAAATCATTAAAATCTAATAAAATATCTGATTTTCTTTTAAAAACATATATTTCCTATTACACAGTGCTAATATAAAGCTTGTTTGTTTAGCATTTATGTGTTTTCACTGTGAGCACAAAAGCAAACACTGAGCCATGGAGGACGTGTCTGATTAATTCTTTTGTTCTGCGTGAGTGCTCTTAAAACCTTTATTGCTGATGTTTGTTACTAAGACGACCTTTGATTGAAGTAGTCTCAAGTGCCTTTCCATCTCTGTTATTTCTCTGAAAGCACATACAGCACTGATTACTCTTTGGTTCTCTCATGAAATGAGATAATATATGATGGATGCTTGTGAGATCCGCATACGAAACTGAGCGGTCAAACCTTCAGTCCTGTAGGGAAAGCATTTAGAATGCACCTTAAAACTCCCAGCTGCTCCATTTTTAGCTCACTAGTCAACAATGGAGACATTTAAAGGTCTTAAAGAATGTGTTGGAACCAGTATGTGTGCATTAACACCGTGTTCCGTCACTGAACGCCCTGACGACATTTTAACAGGACAAAACAGGTTTGTGAGGCACAATAGGCTCATGCTCTATTCGCAATTACATTGTGATCAAACAGGAAATCACAAGGTAAAAAAGAAATTCAAACCCCACGCGAGGAACAAAAGCTAGTATTTACTGTATACAAAAGAGAACTTTAAATAACTTCAAATATAGCTAGACTATGTTAACTTTTTCCAGATTTAACGGCAAACTCTTCCAAACTCTTCCACAGCAGCATGTGCATTAAGAACATATTTGTGACAACATCAAGAGCAGTTTAGAGAATCTTAGGAAGCTTTACAGTTGAAATATTCAATAGTGCACAAAACTCTGTGCCACTGGTGAAGAATTATCAAAGAGGAATATTTATTTATTCATATAGAGAACAGTTTTATCAAAAACAATTAAAAACAAGATTAACAAACATTTATTAAAAATAGGGAACTTTATTAAAAATTCTTTATAATAACAATAATAATCAAAGGATCAACTAGTGACCTGTTCAGTGTATGGCCACTGCTAGAGCTTTACTAAGACCACACGAAAACACCTCTAAAGCACTTTATAATTTCTCAATCAGCTGAACCTTGTTACTTGTGTTTTCTCCCGAACTGTAAGTCGCTTTGGACAAAAGCGCAAAAACATGAAATACGCGAATGCTAGATAGGAATCTCACAGATCCCCATGACTCAGGATTAAGGTACACAATGTAATCACTAGGGGTGTAACGATACACTCTGCTCATGATAACTCAATATTAAGTCCTTCATACAATATGCTTTTTACACTATTTTTAACTGTTTAAAGTGTTTATATAATGAACCCATTATTGTAAAAATGTAAATGAAAACGTTATGAGACCACAAAGCTGTAAAGTTTTTTTAATAACTAAAAGACTAACCAAACAGTTTTCACCAACATCCTGAGCAAAGGTCAAATCTGAACATTTGACGAACATAAAATTCCCTTTTTTTATAATGTCACATGCATACATTTACATAGTTATAGTGAGAAAATGTTTTAGGCAGATGTGAAAAAATTCTGTACACAAGGAATTCTTTTTTTTGTACAATACAAAAAGCAAAGTCAATATTTCAACATAAATTCTTCTCTGGTACAAACAGGAAGGGATTTTCTAGGATCCTGCTCAAGTGTATGATTCAGCAATTATATGAAATAGGTGACGATAAACTTCAATGTCAGACATAGTCTGGAACAGAAACAGCTCTGTAGGAGGTTTAGCACTGGGCGGGGAACATTTGGGAAGACAACGTTGAGGATCATGGATGCTGTTTTTGGACAAAATAAAACTTGTGCAGAAGACTAAAGACACATCAAGCTGATTCTGCTTCGATTGAAAGATATCCAGGAGTACCAAGAGCTTATAACTGGTACTTTTTGTAGGATCCATGTACACCCACCTCATGTCGGGTGAAGTCTGGGCAAAACTTGTTCTTCATGGAAGTGTAGCAGACAAAAACCTATACTTGCAATGGGGAACAAGGTCCAGTGAAACTAGACAACTAGTTACTGTCAGTTGTCTATAGAGTCTAGACAACTGACAGTAAAATCGAAAATTAAAACACAAAAACAAAAGGACTATCTGGAATGACGTGATGGGCTAAAAGAACCGTCAATCATCTGCACCTCAGTAAACCACATACTTAAATTATGTATATAACTGTAACGCTTAAAAAAATAATAATTAAGAAAAAAAAAACCTCACCCCTCTCAGAGTGTTCATGAAGGTTAAATCTAGAGATCTAAATCTACAAAACTAGTGGAGCCAGGGGTGGAAATTTGAGTTTTTCAGCTCCAAAGTTGGGTAATTTAACATTGAAGTGAATGAGAACCTGCTCACAACTAGAGCCAATCTCTAGCGGCCGGTAGAGGAATTGCAGTTCAGTCGCAGTAATTTCTAAATACCCTTTCATCATGTAAAGGAGGATTTTTGTCAAAAAAGACCCTGAACGAACACTTTCAGAGTCATTGTAAAATCAAGTAAAAATTGTCATGTAATAAAAAAAAACATTGGAAGTGTTTTTTGACCATGCTTTGTATCAATCTGTTGGAGACATCCACCATCATATAATGAACAAAACAATGAACCATAAAGATTACGGTGAACCCTGGATACATAATCACAGGTAGGCTATATACACATACTAATAAGCCACATTTGTTAGATTCGGTTGTGTGTTATTTTCATCTGAGGGTTACAGGAAGGCAAAAATAACTAAATCAAAGACAAATGTAAACAAATAGAAGCAAACTGAACCTTTCTTTTGGTTGTTTTATCTTTTTGTCTAATTCATAAATCAAAATGATATTTCAATAACGTCAACGGACTGAGTTTGTCCTTTAATCTAAACGCTACAATTAGAGTTAAACATATTGTTAAGATGGATACTGGTGCTTTTCGAACAATTTTCCAAGTACACGAAACAAATCCAGTACTGGACACAGCAAATATCAGTTCAGTTAACGTTTAACCGAGTTAAACAAGGCTCAAGGCAAGAGGTGTACTCCTCAGTGTTTGCAGAACCTTGTGGAAAATCAAGAATGATTCACTCCATTTGTGTTTTGGAACACGAGAGTTGGTTGTTACCGTATTCGTTTAAGCATTAATTAGCTAGCCACCTTGCTTTTTTACACCTGGGGAAATATAACATCAATCACAACTTGACATCTATATTAGCAACATGAATATTAGCCTCAGAACAAAGCATCAATGCGGTTTAAAAACGGGTCATGGCATCCTTTCATCATAAAACTCAACATTAAATTCCTGGACATTCTCTCATCAGCCTCCTCCCATAAAACACACACACACCTCTCTCGGTTTCAACTGAGCTAGACTTGCTAAGGGTGGAGTGTTTATACAGACTCACGGTCAGCTGTAGAGTCAGAGCCACCTCCTTCATTCCTCTTCAACCTGGAGCTTCGAGTTCCTCTCTTTCACCTTCTCTTGGAAACACGGAAGAACAAAGTCACGGAGGCAATCAGCGTGCACCTGTGAAAACCGACTCTCGCCAAACACACTTCTGCAGGTCAGTGGTCTATACTTTGCTGCATCTTTGAGCGAATTCTTATGATTTTTAGAAGTGTTATGAGAGTTAATGAGTGAGTTTGGTTAGCTAAACATCAGGTCAAATGACATTTAACTTAATTTAAAATCGGAGGATAGCGTGGTTACCCCTTGAGAACAAAGTTATTGAGAAAATAAACAAGTGTGCCTCAACGAATAACCCCGCGTTAGCAGTGTTGTCACAGACTTTACAGCTCAGTCGCTAGACCTTTTCATAGCAAAAGTGTGTTATTTTGTCTCCCCCGAGACCCAGACCCAGTCTGGAAAGCAGAACCGACAGTTCGAATCAGTTGAATCGGTTCAGTGATTGATTCAAGTCCTTCAATGTGTGAAAATATCAAGCACTTTTTTTTGGTTTCTCAGTTCACAACTTTGAATAAATGTGCTGAACTCATTTGTTCAAAATAATCTGAGTTTGTTTTATTCAGTCTAAACACAAATGGCTGGTTGCCATTAGCTCTCCGAATGCCAGTGACTACAAATTTCATTCCTTTATTTGTCTTCTAACCCCCTTGTTCTCTTTCCGGGTCACGGGGTCTGCTGGTGCCTATCTCCAGCTCACTTTGGGAGAGAGGCAGCAGTACCCCCTACTCGCAAGAAATAATTCTTCAATGAAATAGTTGTAAAACAGACAAATTTCTAATATGCAACGTCTGAAATCAATTTTCATCTCCATCAGTTCTGGGTCCATCACCATCAGATCCAAGTTTTTTTTTTTACCCAAATGTACCACATTTTGACTTAATTCCATCATATTAGAAATACAACCCAGATCCAACAGGCGCTCCAAAACAGTCATCCACTGCTAGCATGGTTCACTCTTTGGTCTTTCTTCTAAATCCATCCACAAATATGCAGCTCATTCCAAATGTTGCAGCAAGATTGAACATCTGCTTCTGAAAACCCAAACCCAGGTCTGATCCATCTTCACCAACACCCGTTGCATTCCATGTATAGTTTGAAATCTTAATAACCTTTCATAGCGAGCTTCCATAAACCCATCAGAGCCACCAGATCTACTACAACTGTCTGCCTGGCTCATTCCAGAACCTCTGGATCACCTGGAGGCTCCTGTGCTTTTATTAAGTCCCCTGGAACAAACTACTGGTAGATCTACATGATAGTCAGGATTTAAGGTATGATTTAAAACGTTTTTATTTTGACAGGCATACTTATTAAAAGTTTTCTGGAGGGGCCAAAAAAGTACTAAAGAATTCCTGTGGCTTAGTCGGCAGAGCGTTGTGCTAGCAACGCAAAGGTCAGGGTTTCCAACCCAGGAAAACCAAGAACTGACTACATGTGTTAGTTGAAATGATAAAGCTTGCTATGCAAACATTAACCTAGTGATCTGGTCTTCGACTTACTGCCAGCAGAGGAAGTGGTAAAAGTGTCAGGTACTTATCCATGCAGATTTGGGTCAGGAAGGGATCTTTTTTGGAGGATCTGATGAGAGACCTCAACTTGATTTTCCTTTATTGAGTCCTTGCAGCCAAATAAGTACCAAGCTGAACCAAGCGCTCTCCCTTGACTGTGGTTACTTCGCTCCACGGTGGTTGCTATCCTGTCGAAAGATAAAGTTAAGGTCTCTTCCCTCATGCTGAACAACTGCTCTGTTCTTATGGTCCTTGGTATGGTTTCCAGGGCACCTAAATCTCTATTTCCCAAGGACTACACAGTACCTACCCTTTGTCCTCGAATGTGATATTTGCTGATGATCAACTGTGCTGTGACTATTTTTTCTAATCTTTGACCATTCCCAAACAAAAACAAATGCAGACTCTGTTTTGCAATATGAAGATCATTGATATAGGTCATCTATCTTAATTTTGATATTTTACCCACAATATTATTTACCTGCAGGTGGCATTAAAACTGATAGAACTTAGCTCTTTGGTAAATGGCAGACCTTCACGTCTCAGAGCCAAGCCATTCAGTCATGAGTTTGATGGTCCATAGGGAAACGTATAATCACCATGTTAGTATAAAACAGCACAGGCTAAAACAAATATTGATGGTAGGCTGATTGAGTTTGAGGTACATCCCTCAAAATGTGAATCTCTGATCAAATCGCCTAATATCTATGCACCTGCACCTGAGCCGTTTGAGGAGTACAATAGTTTTTTCACTCTTAACAGCTCCATCTTTGTTTTGTTACAACTTTCCCCATTGGCTCCAACTCCTTCCTGTCAACTTTGACAAAAGCATTTGCCTCCATTTTTACAACCAAACACTCCCGATATCTGTACTATGGCTTATAAATCAAAGTCTTGGTCTTGAACCACCACTGAAATGGTGTATGCTTCCCCTCAGTTGGGTATTGTACCCAACTCTCTATTTCTCCTATGCTAAAAAACTGAAATGTCCAATTTTTACCCAAAATACTGGAAAGAATTGTCACCGCACAGCTTTGAAATGGTCTGTTAGCCACATGTTTTAAGAAAAATTGCAGTCTGGAATCTATGTCTCAAATTACCTACTTCTTGTCCCCTTATGTTGATTCTGCCCGTTGTCCCTTCTGGTTCTTCTAGACCTTATGGCAGCATTTGATTTGGTTGCTCACAACATTTTTCTTGTGAGACTAAAGGCACTGTTGTCTTGCAACAGCACCAAACAGGGCTAAAACAAAGATTTGTACTTTTCCAAATACAATAACTTACTTAGAGCTGTTAAATGAAAGAGTTGAATTTGTGCTTACTATCAAAAGTGAAAAACAAACAAAACTATAAATTTTCCCCTCTTCAATGGTCCCCTCACCGAAAGTAATTAATATGCGGCAAAAACAGTTACCAACATAGCTTCATGTTTAGACAAACTGAAAAACTTAAGTTTCTTCAGTTGTGATAAAATCGTTCAGATTTACAAGATGGCTTCTAGTGAGTTTTTCGATTTCAAGAAAATGTTATTGTTTTACCATTGAAATCATTCATTCATATTCCTTGCCTCGGGGTCACGGGAGTCTGCTGGTCCCTATCTCCAGTACACATTGGGCGAGAGGAGGGGGTACACCCTGGACAGGTCACTAGTACATCGCAGGGCAACACACACTATCACTCACACATTCACACCTACGGGGAATTTAGATTCTTCAATTAAACTAACTGCATGTTTTTGGGATTGTCGGAGTACCCGGAGGAAGTCCACGCACACTCACAGAAATTCTGTATTGTAAAGGAATGTGTCCCTTGAATATCAGCATAGTTTCGAACTGCTCCTAAGTTAAAGAATCCAAGGAATGGATCATAAAACACACATTTACCATCACACATCCCAGAGAGACATTAACATAGAGGGATGTGATTGGATGATTTAGGATTGTCTTCTTAAAAAGACAGGAGGAGATCAGAAGGGACCCATGCTGTGAAGCATCCCAACTCTTTAATAAATATACAGAACATACAAAAATATTGTTTTAACCTTCAAGGAACTCCATTATTCCTCAGCACTTTACATCTCTGACCAGTCCACTACCCACAAGCCCCTTTGCACAGTCAAATCTGCTCCAGCTCTGTCCTTGATTGTTTCTCGTCCTTCAAAGGTCAGGTTGGGTTCTTGGGACCTCAAAGCCTGTTTTACAATGTGCCTTCGCCAAAATGACATGTTCTGTCTCCCAGCTTTTCATTAGTAAGGGCTCCTCAAGTGTCCTGAAAGATGCAGCAACTGACATGCATTATTATTATTATTATTATTATTATTAGTATTATTATTATTATTATTATTATTATTATTATATCATACGTTGCTACTTGAGAGAGATAACCAAATGCCTTTTCTGTCCATAGGAATATTCAAGACTAATCTGATATTATGTCCCTGGAGCTCTGAGCCTCTTGAATATTTGGTTTGACCATCACTACCCTGACACCATGAATATCTCCTTGGAGAACCCCTATGGAGATGTCACCATCCCTCGTGCCAAGCTACGGGACCAGCCTAATTCCAGCACCATCATAATGAACCCAATGGCTTTGGAGAGTGCCTACAACAGTCGCACCTCTGCCCTGAACCCTTACAATAGCTTCCGAACACCCGAAGAGAACAACACCTCGAGTGTTCCAGTGTACGGAGAGAACCATAATGGACATAACCCCCCTCCATACAACAGCCAGCCCACTTATGTTGTGAAGGAGAGCGAGGAGCCTGTTGGACGCTGCTATGCCTGCTGCTGCCGATGCCGTAGAAAGAAATGACACCTCACCCAGAATTGGATTACGTAAATCCGGAGTCAATGGTTGGAGCAAACTTAATCAGATTTTTTGTGGCTGCTCATTTACTTTGTAGTTATGTATCAATTGTTTTGTTTTTTTTTGTTCTACGTTCTTCGTTGATCGAAGCTCCGGGAAACTCTTTGAAGGTTCATCTTTGTGTTCCTCAAACAAAACCTTGGCTTTAGCTTCAGTCATCTGTTCACCGGTTCGTAGAAGTGTCAATTGTTAATCCAGTGCTTCTATGAAATCCTAATGACACATAGAGGTCATGAATTGCTCCCGTTGGGAATCTCCTTGATTTTTATCAGGTTTTTGAGAACACACCCTGAAATGCTTTCAGGTGAAACCGGAGAAAGATTCTTGATTCTTTCTCCACAAAAGGAGATTTGTCAGCTCTTCTTTCAGGCCGTCCCTGTCTCTACTGAACAGGATTTTCGGGTTGCTGGAGACATTCCGCTGACACACTGTGTCTTGAGTTGTTGCAGCTGCCAAAGAGACACTTCCATTTTTTATGGTTGCACTAGTTGCATTTAGTGTGAGCTGTGAACAGTTTTTCAGCCAAAAGACTGCTACATTCTAAGTGATGACTAAAGTTGGATTTTTGGGGGTTTGCATAACAATTCTCAATGATCAATACATTTTTGTACATAAAATCACCTTTTTTTTCCTTCATAAACGGTTGTCTTTGTTTCATGTTACTTGACAACAAGGTGATTCAGCCAGTTTCTGTGATGACAAATAGTTTGTAGCTAGGGTAAGGTAGTGTGTCAGCAGCAGAACAGGTTTGAGACGCAATGGACTTCAAGCAAGTTCCTGGAAGAACACGTGAAGTCTAGATCAGCCAGTTTTCAGATGGGAAGAAACCTTACCTGGAATCTTAAACACTCTTTTATAGTAAATACAATGTGTCCTGAGGGAGTTATTCATCTCTCTGCTACAGACATAGTGTTTGAGCAGATTGCTCTTGATATTTTTTAATAGACTTTTACTATTTATAATACTGTATCCAATTAAATCATGAAATAAAATAATAATTCAAAATGGAACTTTTATGTATATCATTATTAATTTTCCAGCCTATCACGATCACCCCAATTCATATGTTTATCAGTAGGTGCCAATCATATAAATGTAGGTACAGTAGGCCGGATCATTCAAATAAACAAACTGATCACAAAGAAGGCACTGTTTTACACACTTGACCAGTGGACCTATAGAACACCTGTTTCTTTAAGGGTGTAATGATACATTCTGCTCAAGATATGATATGCATCACAATTAACCAACTTTACATTATTTGTAGAAGACACAATGAATTTTAAAGTTTCGAGACAGTAATGCTAAGAAGGTTGGAGTGATTTGATTAGTGTTAAAGCATTTAATATCATCCACCCACTAGGGGGCAGCACTTGTTTGCATTAAGTTCTTTCTTTTACTCTAACTGATGGAGAGTTTGGTTTATGTTTCTCCTTTTCACATGCGTAAAGGATAACTGGGCGCTAGTAAATATCAAATAAAACAGAAAGGAAACTTAAGGAAGTTTCAGAAGTGACTAAACCCCATCACTAACAACCAAATGACATTTTCTACTCGATATATCCAAAAAAATTCACAATGTATATTGTGACAATTTTTTATTGTGGTATATTATTACACCCCTGCTTATTGAGGACTAATCCAACAATTATTAAATGAACATTGTCAAATATCTGATTTTTGCTGTAAATGTAGACGTAAAGGTTCGCTTGATCTTTTGACAGGATCAGCTTCAGTTTACTCCAGGAAAAATCCCTTTTAACAATTCCCAAGCAAAAACAAAGAAAAGTGGAAGTTTTTTTTTTTTAGTTTAAAGTTTGTTTTGCATGAACTATAACAAACGGACATGGACAAAACGAACTGTTACTAGGACTTATGCGTTATGTTCAGGTAGGTATTTAATTTTTTGTCATTTACTGATTTTTTTTCTTCTATTTTTATTATTATTATTTTTTTCTTCTTTTCCTCTTCCTTTCTTTCTTTTTCACTCGTGTACCTTCACCCTTCCCCAATCCTTTATCCACTCCCCCTTTCAGTTCAA